CAGTTGCTCCTCACGGTTCCAGGAACTCGTCTTAAGCGCAGAGGTGACAGGGCCTTCTCTGTAGCAGGACCAAGACTCTGGAACGAGTTACCTCTGCTTGTCAGACAGGCCCCCTCCCTCTCGGTTTTCAAGTTCCGTTTAAAAACTCACTACTATTCAGTAGCTTTCAACACAAGATGATCTGTGTTTTGATCCTGTATGCTCCATACTGGTTTGTCGTCATTATCTGCATCGTTTTTATGTCTATATTCTGATTTACCTCATTTTGTATTTTGCTTTGTGTGTTACCTGTTGTTTTGTCTGTACAGCACTTTGGTTGGCTTTGTAGCTGTTTTAAGTGCTTTATAAATAAAGTGGTATGATATGGTATGGTATGGTACGGTATGGTATGGTATGTCCATAAGAGTAAAGTTGAACAGTGTGAGTTGTGGCAGGAAAGAATCTCTGGATCTGTCCGCAGGACACTGAACCTCTCTCAACCTGTTGGAGAAGGAGCTCTGCTTTATGACAAGCATGTTATGGAGGGTGTGATCAGGGTTATCCATCATGGATAACAATTTGATCAGAGCCCTCCCCTCCACCACCGTTTCAAAGTTGTCAGTCTTGCAGTTCATGAGCTGTGCAGTTAGTTTTTCATTATAATACTTGTGGTGCATTTGTCTTATGAATGGATATTTTGAAAATAGTGCTAGTGACAAGAACCGGTTTGGATCAGCACATAAACACCCAACTCAGAAATGGTTTAAAATGTTTATTAAGAAATAAACAGCTTCTGGTGCAGGTCTGGATCCGGGCCTGTCAAGACAGAAGTGTTAGTGAACTTGACGTGGATGGGGAGGCGAAGAGAGGTGCTATGAGTACCAATAACCTTCTGTCTTGATGGAGTAGCTGGTGCTGTAGTCTCGCTGGAGCCGAGGACATCACTCATGAAGAGTGAACAGCAGCAGCGGAGAAAACAGGGATTGTACAGGTCCAGCAAAGGAAAATCCAGTTCCGAGGTCCAAGAGGAGAAGCAGGGGTTCAAACTCAGCGAAGCAGAGAGAGAGATCTTTAGGGGATTTTAAACATTTGATAAAGTCAGTAGAAATATCAAAACAACTATGTTATTGATTTTAGTATTTTACCTTGATTTTTATATGGCATCTTAATTTTACTGTGTTTATAACTACTTGTATTTGATTTTAATTAATTTTTTTTTTTTTGTCTATACTTTATCTGTCTAAAACAGGCCTCTTGAAAATGAGTCCTCGTGACTCAGTGAGACTAACCTGGATAAAGGTTGAATTGGAACTTGCACATTAGTGACAGTAAAAAGTCAATGAACATGCTTCAGCTGCAAGCACCATTCCCCCCAAATCCATATATTTTTCTGCCCTCATGCAACTCCAGTTCTTTATGATATTTTTTCTAATCTGACTCAGGCCTTTTTCATGTGGTACTAAATCAGATACATATTCAAGGTTTTTCTAAATGACCTCAGTCTGAACTATATTATATCCAACTTTTATGCCAGTGAGGTAATGGTATGTGGATCAATCCAACTACTGACAACGTCATGCAGTTAAAATCTTGGAGCTCTACGGATGTTCAGTTACCTTGTCTTTGTCTTGGATGACTGAGAATCTACAGCAACATATGTCACAAATGTTAAGTGTCTGACTGTATCAATACTAACATGATGGGATCTGTACTTTCAGTACATCGGAGCATTGCACCTACAGTATTTCAGAAATTCAAATGTACTCCAGAGAAGCCAACAAAAAGCAAGATCAAATGGAAACACTGGACGAAACAGTCATGTCAGATAATTGAATTGGTTCTGACGGTACAACCTTCAACATCGATGCGCTCATGTAGCACCCATATTTATATTATATTTATAAACACAGCATGCTGCGTGTGATGTAATGACTTCTTCTGTGCATGTGGATCACCTCAGGGTCATCAATCAGAATGACCACACACACACAAAAAGGGATTTGAGCAAAAAATCTGAATTCAGCATTAAGACTTGCAGCGTAAACATAGTCAACGAGATATTTGTGCTTGGATTTCTGAAATATGATCTGTGAAGGAAGAAATACATTATGGATATCAGAAATGTTCATTTGATGAGGAAAATGTCAATTGTGGATATCTCCATCTTCTGCTGCTTATCCACTGTCAGTTCTCAGGGGCAACAGGTCCAGGAGAGAAACCCAGACCTCCCTCTCCTCAGCAACACTGTCCAGCTCCTCCCAAGGGGGTAACAGGAGGACAGAGGATGGGAAGGAGCAGCAGCCACCACCACTTTAAAATAGCCAGTAACTGGTTATATAGATTTTTTACTGTTATATCTGTATCTATGTGCATATATTTAACTTTGTATTCATACTTGCCAATTGTCCTGTGTTTTCTATAACCTGAACAATGCTGCTGGAATTTGAATTTAAATGAAGGAATCTTCCCAAGGGTTAAATAAAGTTGTTGTATTTTTTACCAAATATTTAGTTTATCTACCAAATAAGGCGAGCTGGTCTGGGAAGCTCAGTCCTCACCTCCTTCTACAGGTGTGCAGTGGAGAGCATCCTGTGCTCCAGTATCAACGTGTGGCATAGAGGCTGCACAGCTGCAGAAAGTAAAGCTTTGCAGAGAGTGGTGAAGGCTGCACAGAAGACTGTTGGAGTCAGCCTCCCCACCATCACAGACATCTACACCTCCAGATGCAGGAAGAGAGCCACCTGCATCATGAAAGACCCCACTCACCCAGCACACATACTTTTTGCCCCACTCCCCTCTGGAAGGAGGTTGAGGAGCATTAAGTGTAGAACCACTAGACTGAGGAACAGCTTCTACCCTGAGGCTGTTAGACTCATGAATCTATAACTAGAATAATCACTGTGCAGTCACTTTAATTGGAGATATGTGACTTTATCCATGCTGCTGATTTCTTGCCTTTAAACTGATATATCCATACTCATCTGCTCACTTTTTATATTTTGTATTTTTGCTATTTTTGTGTGTAACTGGGACCTCGAGTACACAATTTCGTTCCATCTCATGTACCACATATGATGCGAATGACAAAGAACCTTGAAAGTTTTATCTAATCTAAGTTTGAATTTTAATTTATTAGTCTAATAAAGTTGTTGCAGGTATTTGTACTTTCAGTACTGGCTGCTGAAAATTACGGTGGCCTCGGCCACCGTAGAAAATAGTGAGATCTGAAACAGTAATGAGAGCAGTGTAATATATGGAAAAATGCCTGCCATAAACTTTAACTACAGTGTTGAGTATGCACAGGAAGTAGTTTGTTAAAATTAAAAATGCACATACCCATCAGTTCCATTCCATAGCATCCTGTGTGTGTAATTATTTTACTTGTTTAATTCTTGGTAATGGCAGATGAGGCTGTCCTGACCACAGGTCTTGGTAAAAGGTGACTTTATCACGCCCTCCCTCTTTACATTGACCTTACTGTCATTGCCAAATAAGGTTTTAGTGCAGGGTTTGGTGTTCCAAGACCTGAAAGGACTCACTGACAGGGTCAAAAAGTTGTTTTTATTTACAGAAACAAGAGGACAGGACCAAGAAGATCTGCGGAGAAGGAGATCGATGGTAAGAATCCGTCCAGATGATCGGACTTAACTTTTTTTGGATTTATTTACCTGGATGACTGAGCTTACATCAGGACATTTTAAACCACTCTGACTAGTATACCTGGATTATTGAGCATGGACTTTGTTAGTTCACTCTGGCTAGGTTTGCCTCGGGCTGGTTCTGTGAATAGCAAGTGGCCATCAGGGCAATAACAATCAAATCTAGTTTTAGACTAATGATCCTCCTTTTTACATGTGAGAAGCTGGTTCTGGAGGTCTCCAGCATACTGGTTTGTCCACTTTGAGAAGGTGCCATTTATAAAACTGAGTTTGTTGGCAGGCCTCACACTGATGAAGTCTTTCGGATGAAAGACGAGATGTTTCCACTGAGAATCTGTACAGATGACCGGATTTAACTTTTGTGTATTTATTTACCTGGATGATTGAGCTTACAACAGATTTTCATAAACTGCTTTCTTTAACAGTCGAACAGAAGTAAAGGCTCTTACTGTGCTGTTTTTTTGGAGTTTTTTTAAAATCCAAGCTCAAGAGGTGGGATCCAGTTCCAGGTTGAGCAGCGAGGGACTCCAGGAGGTAAGAGTTCAAACGATAAAGTGTGACGGGCCGGACCAGAAACAGAGCAGCAGAAACCAACAATAATCATTTACTTCAGAGGATGAGACGTTCAGGAGCAGTTTCAGTTCTTTGTGCAGGACACGAGTTTCACAAAGTAGTTTTGTTTTAGAAACCATCCATCCATTTTCTTTACCCGCTTGTTCCATTTTGGGTCACGGGGGTCGCCGGTGCCCATGTCCAGCAATCACTGTGCGAGGGGCGGGGTACACCCTGGACGGGTCACAAGTCCATCACAGGGTCACATAGAGACAAACAACCATTCACTCTCACTCACACCTAGGGACAATTTAGAGTTACCAATCAGCCTAACATGCATGTTTTTGGACTGTGGGAGGAAACCGGAGTACCCGGAGAAAACCCACGCATGCACGGAGAGAACATGCAAACTCCACCCAGAAAGGCCCCTGGACCGGGGTTTGAACCAGGGACCTGCTCGCTGAGAGGCAGCAGCTCTACCAGTTGCGCCACCGTGCTGCCTTGTTTTAGAAACCAAGATCTCAAATCCAACAAAATTCAGTCAGGTCATGTGGATAGGAGAGGAGTGCAGCAGCTCGGGAGGGGAGGGGTGGTACGGTCAAGTTTTACATTCATGCACGTCTGTCCAAGCATTTTAGAGTTTACAAGTCTCTGTTTCTTCTCAGACAAACCTTTTCCACCAGTTCTCAAAATAAAGCACAGATTTAAGAGGACAAGATCGTTCAGCTTGGTGCAGCATCACATGAAGACCATCTGGTAGACAACACCACAGTACAAACAACATGTGTAGATAAAACATGGACTTGCTTTATTCAGAACAGATAGACGGGCGACGCCCCTCAGAAAACAAAGGTGTCTGTCCATCACAGTTAACCACAATCAGTCTTTTACAACTAGACTCTGTTGTTACTCAGTAACAGACAGAAGATCAGCCCATCATGGCGTCTGTTGGTAACTCTTCAAGACTTTCGTTATCGTTAGTAAGGTTTGCCTCCAAGGGCACCGAGCATCTCCAGCCTCTGTGCTGCTGTGGGCATGTAAGGTTTAACTCCATCTCTTTTCCTCTGCATCATGATATTGTGCTGCAAATAAAACAACAACAACATTGAATTCATATGTCTGAAACAATAAGAAAAACTGGCTAGTAAACTTCCTGAGCAACTAGAAATAGTACCTTAATGAGGTATGATCGCTGGACACTAGTTGACAACAAACACTGACACATGTTCAAGATGTCGGTGATACTGTGATTGTGTAGTTTCCTCAATTTATAGGGGTGATATACACAGTATATCATACATTATCTGTCATATTTGTCATCCAGTAACTCTCATGCTTACTAATAATAAAGTTATGAACAAATATGACTGCCTTGAATGAACTAAAATTATAGTGGACACATAATCTGAAAATAATTACATAAACACTCATTTTAAACACAAAATATAATCAAACAGCACAACTAAATTGCAAATCAGTTTTACAGTTTAAGTGGATTATTAATAAAATTGTGATTATTTATTAAAAATATGAGAGAAATGTTTGATGTGTAATCACGTGACGTTCATCGTGTATAAAAATCAATGGAGCCAATTTGTCAAAATAACAGCAATAAAAATATTGAAAAGTCCAATTTACTTTAATTAAAAAAGGCTTCTGTGCTGAGACATGGAGCAAGGTGCGGAGCAGGGATGGTGTTCCTCAAGGACCAGTGTTGGGAACCACTCACTGTACTAAACAACTAGTAAGGTAAGAAATGATCCTGCACTTAATAAGCTACACTTATAAATTTATAAATATATATAAAGCATCTAAAAGTAAATTATAAATATGAATTGGTTTGGTATTTTGACATTTGTGTGCCCGAGCGTTGTGTTTGGTGTTCCGGTATCAGTGTTGACCTCAGTGAACCTCAGTGAACTCACTGGTCTCACACTGCTATTTGTGTTCCAGCATCGCTTGGTTTACAAATTAAGCACTGTATATATATATATGTATATATATATATATATTTTTTTTTTTTTTTCTCTCTTTCGACTGCTCTCTTCCTCAGGGGTCGCCACAGCAAACTAACTCACACAAACACTCTGTGATTGTTTTAACGCTGGATGTCCTTCCTGACACAACCATAGACCACTGAACTACCACAGCCCTCTGTGTGGAGTTGCCATCTAGGGTGCCTGGGGGAGCAGATGGTGGGGGTTAAGGGCCTTAACCAAGGGCCCAATTTATAATCCCAGATTAGCTTTTGAAGCTGCAGCTCACTCTTCCATGGTGACCTTTCTTACACCTGTTGCTTTTCTTAAAGTTATCCAGCTCACGAGACGGACTGACATATATGGTGGCAGCCATCGAATTTCTGCTGAAATAAGATTTTTCATGAACAGAATACATTTTGAAGCTAGAAGTTGTTTTAAGGGTGGCACGGTGGATCAGTTGGTAGAGCTGTTGTCTCTCAGGGAGAAGGTTGCTGGTTCAAATTCCTTCTGGGTAGAGTTTGCATGTTCTCTCTGTGCTGTGTGGGTTTCCTCCCACAGACCAAAAACATGCATGTTGGGCTGATTGTAACTCTAAACGCCCCCCAGGTGTCCCTGTGATGGACTGGAGACCTGTCCAGGGTGTCCCCCGCCTCTCTCAGTGACTGCTGGACATGGGCACCTGTGACCCGAAAGGGAAGAAGCGAGTAAAGATAATGGACGGGAGCCGTTTTAAGATGGCTAATCGGTCCTGAATGCTCATTTGACGACGCAGTTAGCACCTCAGCTAGCACAAGCTAATGTTAGCTGTTAGCTTGAGTTTACATTAACTCGTAACTTTAGTCAGATTTTATTCATATTTTATGCACCAACTATTACTACTACTAACAAATATAGTGATTTTTTAACTTGTATTTTATTTTAAAAAGAGCTGTCTCTTCATTCTTGCATGAAATAAACATGAAAAACTTTAATTTCAAATAAATCCATGGAATATATTTTAAATATAAATGAGTTCATGTCACATTTTTATGCCCAACTGAACGTTCTGATTATATTATATAATTTTTACTTATTTCAATCCACCGTATTGTAAGACACTTTTAGGGGGAAAATATAGTTTGTTCATAAACAATGACATTTAGAAATATAATAATGAAAGAAAGAGTGGTCAGATATACAATTAATTAAACATGAGGGTCCTACATGTGTGATTTTGATGAGCTTTGTGTAGTTTCTTGTTTCCTCCCAGGCTGAGCAGTTTGCAGCCCCTCGGCTCTGAACGAGCAGCAGGCGGCGTTGTTGCACAGTCAGACATGTTTTCAGGAAGACTCACGAAAACCAGCGCTTTTATATTTGTTTGTGTTTCCTTAAGGACAGATATGAGGTGAACAGACTCACCCAGTACGTCCTGCAGTTCTTATATCTCTGGAAATCGGCCGAGCACATGCTCCTATCATAGTTGTAGGTGTCCATACACTTCTGGGAGGCATCGGTTTCCTGGGAAACACACAGAGTTCACTCCACGGAGCGACACCGCAGGAGCACAGAACAGCCTCGACTCACCTCGATGCACGGGTTCGTGTCCTGGTGACGAGCTCTTCCAGTGGTTTTATCCATTCGGACCTGAGAACAAGAAAAAAAGAGTTGGCCAACTTCATTCTGTACAAGATACACAATCTTATTACACACATACAATATTATTATGAGCATGCTCAGAGGATGTGTTGTGGCTGACTGTCAGGTACTACCACGTCAGAGTTTAGCTTAACATCTGGAAAACTGACTTGAGTTTTAGCCTTTTTGTGCTGGCTAGGGTCAAATAGCTGTGGTGGCCATCTTGAGCTGGGCTGGTTGACAGGTATGTTCCGACCCTCGCTCACCTGGGACAGGTGAATCACGCATGTTTCACATTCCACTCATCTAAAGTCACACATCGGACCTATAGGATTCATTAAAAACGTGTTTTTTGAGGCTCCAGAATGCAGGATGATCTTATCGGGTCAGTAGGAGAAACTCGTCTAAATTCATCTAAATTTACAACTTCCTTATTTCACAATTAATTTGAACAGCATTTGTATTATTTTATTTGTCATTTTTAGCTGCATTCACTGAAATGCGTTTTAATCAAACTTGGGATTTTCTTTTAATTTTTAACACCGATGTACATGTCAGCACTGTTTTAAATGTGCTTTATAAATAAATTTGACTTGGACTACAGCCATTGGTTACTTCTGGAGTTTTACTAAAACCTGTCCACTGGTGAGAACACTGATCAGCTCTTTACTCTCACTAGGGTCCTCAAGGGGTCATGTGAGTTTGTCCATCCAGTCTACATGTGTTTTGTGGACTTGGAGAAGGTGTTTGACCGTGTTCCTTGAGTTACACGGTGGGGGTGCTCCATGAGAATGAGATTGAGGGCCCGTTACTACAAGCTGTTCAGTCCCTAAACAAGCGGTGCGAGAGTTTGGTTCACATTGCCGGTAGTAAGTCGGACCCCTTCAGAGTGGGAGTTGGACTCTGCCAGGGCTTCCTGTTGTCACTGATTCTGTTTATAACTTTGATGGACAGAATTTCTCGGTGCAGCCAGGGGGCGGAGGGAGTCCGTCTCTGCTCTTCGCAGATGATCTGGTTCTGTTGACGTCATCGCGCCGTGATCTTCAGCTCTCACCGGAGTGGTTCGCAGCGGAGTGTGAAGCGGCTCCGAGGAGAATCAGCACCTCCAAATCTGAGGCCATGGTCCTCAGTCTGAAAAGGGTGGATTGCTCTCTTCAAGTCGAGGGTGAGGTCCTGCCTCAAGTGGAGGAGTTCAAGTGTCTCGGGGTTTTGTTCCCATGAGAGAGAAGAACGGAGCGTGAGATTTTTCATTCGTTCAACCTTTATATAGACAGGTTAATCCCATTGTCACTGATTGACAGACGGATCGGTGCAGCGTCTGTAGTATTGTGGACTCTGTGCCGGTCCGTTGTGGTGAAAAGGGAGCTGAGCTGTAAGGCAAAGCTCTCCGTTTACTGGTCAGTCTATGTTCCTACTCTCACCTGTGGTCATGAACTCTGGGTAGTGACAGAAAGAGTGAGATTGTGGATACAGGCGGTTGAAATGAGTTTCCTCTGCAGGGTAGCTGGACTCTCCTTTAGAGACAGGGTGAGAAGTTCAGTTATCAGGAGAGACTCAGAGGAGAACTGCTGCTCCTCCACATCCAGAGGAAGATGGACGGACAATGGGAGAGTTTTACTGAAATCTGTCCACTGGTTAGATATTTTGCTAACAGACATGAAGCAGGAAGAAGTAAATCCTCCCCAGGTCCTTTATATCAACATGTCCGGTCATCATGATTCTATATTTTTATTAATTTAATTGATGCCTCATGGCTGAACATGAAATAACTCCATCCAATATAAACATTATTCCAACAGGTACATTAATTTACTGACAGAACGCGTTGTCCAGGAAGCCCTTCTGTCTTGGACATTTATTAATATTTAGAGGTTATGAACCGGACGTGTTTATGATATTTCACTATAATAAATAAAGTAAAACCTACCTTAAATAGCACCTTTTCAACAGGAGGGGTCACTACGAGTCAAGGTTATGCTAAACTTTAAACTTCCTGAGCAACTTAAAGCTGTGTTTTGATGACTACATTCACATTTTAACACTTGGGAACTTTAACTGAACTCTGGTCCACAGAGCGGCTCTGTAAACTGCCTGTAACCGACTGGAGAAGCCGAACTCCGGCTACAGCTAGCTGTACCGTCACCGTCCTGTTCGGCTACCGGTCTGCTCCGTACAACAGCGCACCAGGAAGACAACCATATACGTCACTCGGTACTAGCCAATAGGAGCCCTGAAAATAATTAGCCGCGCTGATTGACAGCATAATCGGCCAATCAGATTGCATACATGACTTGTCAATCTTCCTGTCTCTGGAAAACCGACCTGAGCAGTTTCAGCGATTGACAGTGACTCCAGCAAGTCCAAAAAATGGCGTTTTATTGAAGGAGCCTGTAAACACGGCTGAGGTGGAAGTGGCAGCGCCGAACACAAATCACAAGGAGCGGGGGGGAACGTGCGGTGGGCGGGGCCAATGCATAGTGCGGTTGCATCGCAGCGCATACAATGGCTGCTAGAAAGAGGAGAAAGCAAACAATTTTCAGGCCCGCCGCGTCCCGCAAAAAATATGGGAAAAAAATTATTAAAAAATCGGAAAATTGTGGAAAGTGGAGAAAAACACACCGGAAAGGATGCGGAAGCACGCGGGGTGAGTTTGGTGCAAATTAAAGAAACGGTCAGCCCGTTTTTAATTTAAAATATCGGGGTTATTTAAATTATGGGGACAGAGGAGGGGGGGGGGGGGAGAAAAAGTTTGGTCAGAACCCAGGTTCGGTTCGGTTCGGACGGAAGCCCACTACAGGGCATTGAGCTGAGAGTTGGCTCAACTTTAACTCAAAGTTTATTTCTGACACCAGCAGAGCACGAGCTGCGCGCGAGCCAACACTAAAACTGCTGCTGTCCTCGCGCACTCGCTGGGTCACGTGGTTCCGATCCGAACCCATCGATCCGGAGAGCGGCTGCTCTTCAGACAGACTCCCGCCGGGTTCGGCTCCGAACACGGAACCAGAACCTGCTGGTGCTGGGCTGATGGGACCAGTAACCTGTGGAGTTGGTGCTGGTGGAACCAGAACCTGCTGGTGCTGATGGAACCAGTAACCTGTGGTGCTGGTGGAACCAGAACCTGCTGGTGCTGATGGAACCAGTAACCTGTGGTGCTGGTGCTGGTGGAACCAGAACCTGCTGGTGCTGATGGAACCAGTAACCTGTGGTGTTGGTGCTGGTGCTGATGGAACCAGTAACCTTTGGTGTTGGTGCTGGGCTGATGGAACCAGTAACCTGTGGTGTTGGTGCTTGTGCTGATTGAATCAGAACCTGTGGTGTTGATGCGGATGGAACCAGTAACCTGTGGTGTTGGTGCTGGTGCTGATGGAACCAGTAACCTTTGGTGTTGGTGCTGGGCTGATGGAACCAGTAACCTGTGGTGTTGGTGCTGGTGCTGGTGCTGATGGAATCAGAACCTGTGGTGTTGGTGCTGATGGAACCAGCACAACACCACAGGTTCAGGTTCCTTCAGCACCAACACCACAGGTTCTGATGGAATCAGAACCTGTGGTGTTGGTGCTGATGGAACCTGAACCTGTGGTGTTG